TATATTTTATAAATTCATTTTTTTATTATTTTTCATTATTTAATAAAAGTCATGCCTATTTTGGTCATTCTACACACTAAACTTACTTATCTAATTCTAATTCAAACAATTTTTCTACCTTACAAACCAACTTTTATAAAAGTTAATTCAAACATAAATCACATTACATAATCTAAATTTTATCCAATCTCACTTTTCTAAAAGTCAAATTAAAAATAAGTTATTTTTTCTACTGTTAATCCAAAAAAACCCTTAATGAACTGAACAAGTTTACTTTCTTAGTATTTACTGTATGTTGCCAAACTTATATTACTTTTAAAATTATAAAATAAAATTCAATTATAAGAACATTTAGTCCTTAACATTAAACAAACGCTATATTTGAAATGATATATGGTTAGACTTCCCGATTGAGAGTAAAATACTGAAACAAACAGTCAATCATGAATACGTCATATAACGATGTTGCTGGATATGCTGGGTTAATAATGTCTGAGCTCAAGTGGAGAATAGGAGACGAATTCTCCATTCCTTTAAATCACCATTTATGGTGGCCAATGCAGCAAGATCCAGCAAAAATGCTAAATATTCGGCAGGTTGTTGATCTTTTATCGCATAATGTCTCTTCCTGGTGTTCACTTAAGTGAAATGCTTCTTTGATTCATCAGCTTTATCGCCCTTCTATGGCCAAATCTATTTTATCAACCCCTCTTTCTTTCATGGTTAACAAGGATAAACTAATTTGGCAAGGTAATTCTCTGGGAATTTATAAGGTAAGATAGAGCTTATTGTTTGACAAATGTTGATGATTAAATTCTGGATCACTTTTGGAAAATATTATGGAAGATTCTTCTCCCATATAAATTGCTTCTGCTTATGGAAACTAATCAGGTAGGCAATCCCCTCTAGCGGTGTGCTTAAGCCTCATCACATGCCCATTTCTGGTTATGTTTTTTTGGTTGGGATAGTGAAGAATCCTTGAAACACTTATTTGTTAATTGTTTTTTCATTAGATCTTTATGGTTTGGAAGTCAAAAAATTAAAATGGAACAAAATAATTTTCAAAGACTTTTGGAATGGTTAATGCAAAATCTTCAGGCTCTTGTTCAAGATGCTCAAGAGCATAAAGCCAAGAATCATTTGTTTGCTGAATGCCTTATGGAGGAAAGAAATTCCATCATTCATCAAGGAGGAAAATTTTCATTGCAAGATATGATCCAATAAATTAATGGTTGCGTTACCTTATATGAATTGGCTTTTTCTTCTACTCAAAATCCTATAATTTTTATCTCTCGATCAATTGATAGCAATTATCCTTTTCTTAACTTGTTGGAATATGATATTATTCTTCGTAAATTGAAGAAACAAAGGATATTGCATTGCTAAACTATTATTTGTTTTTAGGGTTCTTCGATTCGAGCTTAAAGACTACAAAGGTCAAATATTTCTTTGGATTTGTTCCCGAGCGACACAATTATGGCTGATGAATTCTAGAGTTTTAGAGGAAAATAATTATAACTGTTTGACAATTAGCTGTATTAATAAAAGATTCATTAGAATACCTCTGAAACCACCACCTTCACACAATCAAATTTGGAAAGATTTTTTTTCTTTTTATCTTGTTTTAAGGAACGTAATTCTAGGAGTAGTATCTATTTCTCCCTTTTTAAATTTCACTCAAAATAACTGTTGCTTTATCTGTTTTGGAACCTTGTAACAGTTTTTTATTTTAATTGATGTTTGACTTTTTAAAAAAAATATGAATATTTCATATGAAGTTAAATTTTTATTAGGAAGTTTAGTGAATTAAACCAAGTGACTTTTATAGATCTTTTGATGGTCTCCAAAAAGAATATATTAAACTACTGGATTCAACAAGATAGAATCATTTTATACATAACTTTTTATTTATAAGACTCAAATTTAAAAACTTTATTTAAACGGAATCAAACCCCTTATCTTTCGGATAAAAAAACTTTTGGGGATTGATGGGAAAAATCTCAAATGGATGCTTAGAGTTTATCCACTAATTGAAATTTCCTTGTGGTGCTTTTTAGTAGTGCTTAATTAGGTGAGTCACATTGTCCTTTCCATAACTTCTTTTTCTGCTTATATCTGTTACGCGGGTCCAGAGGATCCTGGAAATCAAATAAACCACTAATCATATGAAACATGTATGCCATATAATGATAACCACTGAAGCATAAAATCTTTGAAAAAATTATGTTCTTTGCACTTAAAATGTAATGCTCGAAACTAAATCATATTTTGTCTTCTTCTCCAATTGCTGATGATTGGTGTGAGGATTAGGGGCTAGTTGTTTCAATTATCATTTTTTATGTGAACTTAAACGACAGACGTTTTCTCAGATATATTATATTATATGGAGTTTGAGTTTTTAAAATTAGACTTTTGAAATTAGACGAACGATATCAGTGACGCAAAATATTTGTGGATTATTACGGTGATTATATAAATTTCATTTAGTCTATAAAAATGAAAAATATAATTTAAAAATAAAATACTTTAACTTAAAAATTTTCCATAGAATTATAATAAAGGAAAGTAAATCTATTTTGCAAATAAAAAATGATTCAAGGATTAGAGTTTTATCAAACTCTATTAGACAAGCAATACTATATGGTACTCCTTCAATATTTAATATAAGACTTATTTAATTAATTTAATTAGATTAAAAAATTAGGTAAGTTAGTTAATTATAAGAAATATGAAATACTTTTCCTAAAATACCATAATTGTAATTTCTTAATATCTGCCCTCCCTCTCTTATTTGATTATGGTTAAGAGAGTATCAATAGATATAATTTTAAAAAAAATGAATAAATGTGATAAATAGGTTTTATATTTAGGACTAAGATTGATTCAATAATTATGTCCTATATATATTAAGGACCGGAGGAGTAGTAAATATGAGGTTTATATATGAAGGCATAACAAGAGCATACATTTGGAGTAAAGGAGATGTACGTGTGGTTATATGGGAAAAATATACGATTCATACTAAATACATACAGGGAAGAGTTTGTGTAGCATATCTTGAAGAGAAAATAGAAGAAAATATTTTTAGGTGGTTCGGATATCACAAAGAAGGCATTTGGAGATGTAAGTAAAAATAGTAGATTAAGCAATATGGAGTCCTCAGAAAAGAAAAAGAGGAAACTCAGAAAGAACACTCAATGAAGTTATTAACGAGAACATTTTGGTTAACAGTGATTTATCTAAATATTTAGTTGTTGGTAGAATACAATCACACCGTATAATCCATAAAATCAATCCCACTTAATGAGATAAGGCAGCGGTTGCTGTCGTTGTAGAGGAGCTTCTATAAAATATATGATTGTTACGAAGAAACAAAAAGAGGCAAAACAAGATTTAATAAAACTTGCATAATGGAAGGGGACGACCCATCTGTGAATAATATGATATCCGAATAAATTGCGACATGAACAAGCCTTCAAGGAAATTCTTGTAATTTCAGACACCAATTGGTACATTTTGGTACATTAATTCAAAATATTATTTGAGGTTAATGTATAAATTTGTCTTGAAAATTTTGGTTCACATGTTACTCTGGAATTTTTTTTTTCCAACTTCAATGTCACTCTGAAAGTTTAAAAATATAGCAATGTTACCCTATCCCATTAAAAACTAACACTGACCACTAATTGGCATTGATCATTAACATTTTTAACGACAAAATGCTACATTACTCCAATTTAACACTCCCTGAACAACCATGAACCAAAAACGCGTCTAGGATAAATTCACACCTTAACCTAACTATTTAAGTTGTCCGTGAAATACTGATTCATATCTCTTAAAGTGTACTATGAATGAAATGTGGATCACATAGAAGTGATGACCTCCATCTCTTCTTCTATATCTCTTTTTCTCCACTGGCCTACAGTACACATAAGGGAATTCATATACCTAACATGACAAAAATATATAGTAATTATATTCAAATATGGAACATATTGGGACAGCCCACTTTCCTTCTTTTTCATCTATTCTTTATCATTTTTATGTATCTCTCTCTTTCAGTTTAGAAACACATCACATGCATCAAACATCAAAAGATCCATAACCATTGATACATAAATAACCAATAACAATAGCTGCATTGAATGGGAGAGACTCAATATCATATACTCCCTTAGAATTTAAATGTAAGAGCTAATACTGGAGATTTCTTTTATCCTAAATGTACTGCTTCAATCTACTTTAATTATCTCCCAAATTTATAACTTTTCCCCCCTAAATTCTCCCTATTGATTGCACATATTAAAGGGTTTTTTCATCAAATGAGTAAGGATATTTAGGGGAATCAAAACTTATTTTTTACAAATAACTAATTTTCTTAATTTCTATAAATTAGTTTCTAGCTTATACATTTAGGGCTGAATGGAATATTAATTAAAGTTTTAACTTTGAGTCTTGATAATTGGAAAAAGAAAAGGAAAAAAATATAAAGAAGCACATATTGGGAGAACTTTATATCCCACTTGGATCCAACGGGCTCTAATTTGATTTTGCCAACTGTATGAGATGATAAATGATAAATGTGTAACAGGTAATTAGCCAGATAATTGGTGGAACCATATTCTTAATCCGACATGCTCCATGGTACATAGGATAGGCTCCTGCTCGAGGGAAGTAATTTCAGAAAGTAGTTGTTTACAATAAAAAATCATAATTAAGCATGCTTCAATTAGTCCTATAATGCCCGTACTGTGAATTAGAATGACAATAGTGTCAGTCTAATAATTTAGCTTTCTAGCAATGGATGGGCCAAATTCTTACCACTTTGATGGCAGAAACTAGAAAATGGATTGATTGGATATGCGCAAAATAAGGAAAGAAATGAAATAAAGCAGGTTATGACCCACATGAATTCCAAACTCTATATATTCACCAAGCTTCTTTGTTCAAAGACACTAAAAAAATACCATCACAAAAATGAAAGGCTCATCAAATAAGCCCTATATAGCAATGATCTTCACACAGTTTGTGTATGCAGGCATGGCTTTGCTCTCTAAGGCTGCGATCTCCAAGGGAATGAACCCTTATGTGTTTGTCGTCTATAGGCAAGCCCTTGCTTCAGTTGCCTTATCACCATTTGCTTTCTTTGACAGGTTCTATACTAATTAGTTCTTTTCTCTCCATTTTCTCGCCATCATTACTTCATCCTTCATAATATATAGAGACTTACAAGGCTTCTCTCTCTTTCTTTTTTGGCCAATTTTCTCTTTGATTTTCCAGTAAGCAGGTTACTCCCTTGTCATCCACCTTGCTCTGCAAAATCTTCATCATTTCCCTATTTGGGTATGTATGGGATGAACTTTTAATTTGTGACCCCATCTCTTGTTTAATCTCTGTCACAACAAACTTAACTAACTATTTAGTCCTTTAACTTTGTACATTTAATGTATCAGTCCTTTAATATACAGATCTTCATTCTTTTGACATTTTTAGATAGCTTAAACGAGGCTTATATATGCAGGTTAACATTGAGTTCAAGCCTTTACTATGTTTCAATCAGCTATACTACTGCAACTTTTGCTGCAGCATCCACAAACACAATTCCTGCAATTACTTTCATCATGGCTGTTCTATTAAGGTGACCAAGTAAAACCAGACTTGCATAAAGAAATATGGTCGAAATTACTAAATTTCAAAGCTTTAACTTAATGAACACATCTCTCTCTCTCTCTCTCTCTCTCTATACATATATATATATATATATATTGTTTTCTGTCGTTTCAGAGTGGAAAGCATATCTGTAAAACACATGTATGGAGTGGCCAAGATTCTAGGTTCTGTTCTGAGCCTTTCCGGGGCAATTATATTTGCTCTAGTTAAAGGACCTCCTTTAGGATTCATGAAGTGGTATCCTCAAAATCAGGAGCATCACTCTTCTGTGTCACTAACAAAGGGTCATTCCAAACTTGATCTAATCAAAGGTCCTATCATGATGCTTTCTGCCAACACTGCATGGTCCTTGTGGCTTATATTGCAAGTAAGTACCTCAAAATTACTGTAATTTCTTCTTCATTTTAAGAGTTTTAACCTCTTTTGTTAATGATTTTTACCATTTCATGCACTTTGGTTCAGGGTTTCATTGTAAAGCGGTACACTGCCAAGTTTCGGCTCACCACTCTGCAATGTTTCTTTAGCTGCATGCAATCAGCTGTTTTAGCTGTTGTGATTGAAAGAGATCCTTCAGCATGGAAGCTTGGATGGGACATTAATCTTCTTTCTGTGGCTTACTGTGTAAGTTGTTCTTCTTATATATGTTTATAATGTTCAAATGTTCTTCACAACTCAACAACAGTCATAAAGCACATCTAAATATAGACACTTTGATATAAAGTAGACAGACAAAATCTCATCAGTTTAAAACACAAGTTTAGAAAACAGTGCTGGCTTGGTCTTTAGTTGGAAACAAAATTCTTCTGTGGTAATCTTTGTAGCACTCACTTTTAATATTTTCAGTATATTAGCTATTTAACATTTACGACATTCTTTTTTAAATTTTTTTCAGTACTCATGTTTAATATTTTTGAGTACTTATTTTTCCTATTTTCAACACTAACTTCTAATTTTTTAATATTGAAAACATTAAAAATAAATACGAAAAATATATTTAAAAAAAAGTACTAAAGATATTAAAAATAAATACGAAAAATATATTAAAAAAAAAGTGCTAAAGATATCAAAGATGAGAACTAGATGAAACATGATTTCTGGGGAAAAAAAAGTACTCAAAAAATTTAATTTCAACATTTGATTTTTAAAAAAAATCAGAATTATTCAAGATCCTTAATTATAATTAATATTCTTAGAGGGGCCTTAAATATCATTTCCCTAAGAAGATTTATCACTAGAGTAAAAGCACCACTAGTAACTTTGATATGTCACCTGGTGTCCAATATATCCATGCTCTCTCACCACTTGGTCGACAAAATTAAAAAACATTCACTACTAGAACAAAAGTAAGAACTATTAGCCAGGTTACAACAGTGACTTAATGTCAGCTTGTCCAATCCAATCCTTATCCCTAGCGGGGCTCATCCCTGGGTCAAAAGACTTGTTTTAGACTTTGACTGAGGGGTAGAAATTCTACCATCATCCATCGGCTTGGAAAAGCTGACTCAATATAATGAATACAATAAAATGGTACTTCCGATGTGGGACAGACACTCGCACTGTGTGCTAGCTTGTTGTTAGGATCATAACATGCTGGACAAGGACTACTGTAGCATGAGTATCTCCTATAATAAAACACAAAGTGATATCTCAAAAGAAGCGAAATGCATCAGGAAGTGGGATTTGTTTTTGGGGTCCAGAAATTTAGTTGAATCCCTCATGATTCTAGAGATAGATATATGAATGCCGATTTGATCATAACCCACTTCTTTCCTTTTTCAAAATCATGATCCGTGATGCAAACCGTTGACGTACGGTATGGCTTCTCTCTTAATGGACTGCGCTTCAACCATTTTGTGTTACTTTGAAAAAGCTTGCAAATCATAACAACTTTTATTAACTCCTTTCTGAACTGTAAAGTCAAGTCCCATTTTGTATACTACCTCCAGTCTTTAATATAAGATCTAGTTGACTAATTTAAATAGATTAAAGAAACTAGTTTAGTTAGTTATTTGTAATAAATAGGTGTTGTCTTTCTTAAAATATTCTTACTAATTAAGTATATTGGCTAAAATTATTATTATTGCAAGAACTATCTAGAAAAAAACAGATAAATATGAAATACAAAATAGACTAAAGTAAAAGTCAAACGAGCTCTTATATCAAGGACTAGAGGTAGTATAATGGGAATAGGAAAGGAAATCAAAATCGCAAAGTTCTCTTACATAAATATAGGTAATTCCTTCCTTTTTCATATTCCAAACACAAACTAGAGTGAAAATGAAAGCATGGAATTATAAGAACAGAAGATCATATATAATTCATAGGAGCATATACAATGCTAAGTTGCTAACTGTTTTCCCTTGTTCAATAGCATCATATATGAATATATCTATGCGTGCATGCGCATGCAAGGGGCACATTTTATGACTATGATAGTATCTTGCACTAGGGCAAACTGGTCTTTTTACATCATTTCCCTAATTAACTAGGATAGATACAGCTGGTTTAAAAAGTCTTGGGTGGTATAACTGATGTAGAAAACACTAATTATATATTGGCTTTTGCTAATCATAGTAAAAAGTAATTGCCAATAACAAAAAAAATCGTATTAACTTTTCATAACAATTGAACTGGGGATTTTTTGACCAAAAAAAAAAAAGAACCGGGGATTTTGTCTCCTCTGCAATTTTGCTCCTAGCTATGTGTTTGTGTATGAATTAACAGATTATGCATTGCAGGGTGTAATTGTGACAGGGATTTGTTATTGGCTTCAAGTATGCACTATAGAGACTAAAGGACCCGTTTTTACGGCAATGTTTACCCCTCTAGCTCTTATCATCACAGCAATACTCTCAGCTCTTTTGTGGAAGGAATCACTTTATTGGGGAAGGTACCTATTTCAATTTTGAAAGCATTACCTCCTATCTTTAATATAAGAGTTAGTTGACTAATTTGAGTAGATTAAAGAAGTTTGTTAAATTAGTTATTTGTAACAGATAAGTATTGTCTTTACTAGAATACTCTTATTAATTATGTATATTAGTTAGAACTACTATTTGATGGAATCTTTAATATATGCAACTATAACAATGACTATTTAAAAAAAAATAGATAAATATGATAAATAAAATAGATTAAGGTCTTACATTTAAGACCAAATTTAAAGCTAAACTAACTTTTATATTAAAAATTAGAAGTACTATATTATAAGTAACTGCGCTTAGAGGTTAGTTTCAATTAAAAAATTTTAATCGATAAGCCAATCATATCTTTGTAGTCTATGATGTGTTTTCTTTCCCCCCTCACGTTACTGTCTCTTGGCTTTGAACTGCGAAGCTTCTACTTGGTACTTTTAAAGCTAATTCTAAGCAACACAATTTTAAGCTTTGCTGAAATTAAAGAGGCTTGTCCCTTTTTTGTCAAAAATTTATGCGGACCTTTTTCAATGATAAAAAGTGCATTATATTGATGCAAAGATAATTTCTATTTTATTACAAAAATAAATTAGCATCCAACACTTTAATACTCCTCCGGTCCTAAATATATATAACACATTTTGTAATGTAAATTATATTACAAAATCAGTTTTATATTTAGACTGGAAGAGTATTATTTATAATGTATTCAAATCCTAACATTATTTTTCTAGTACATCCAGTATCCTAATAATCTTATTATGCTTCAACATGTTGGATCGACTATAAATAAAATTAGGGTGTTAGACTGGAGAGCTAGAATAATAGTTAATTATGTTTTTTGTGTTTTATAGAACTAACAATGGCACAATGCATTTGCTTGTGTTGTTTTGGGCCACATGTAGTGTTGGAGGAGCAATGTTGCTGGTGGTAGGACTGTACAGTGTATTGTGGGGAAAGAACAGAGAGTGTCCCAAACAAGAAAGCCAAGATGACAAGGAAAACACAAGTCATTCGAAATTTGACGATACCACATTGGAATGCATTATTCACCACTAATAATTCATTCCATTCAACCACTTCATATGTTTTATGGGCAGTTAGCACGCACTATTCACAACTTGTGTATATAGTTTGTTTTTTTTTTTGGTAGGTTTCATATTTGATATTAATAAATAATAAAGACTTGGCTTCTCTTTCTTATCCCCCACATATTAGTAAGTTGTATGTTTATTTGAAGCATGTCGTTATCTCATTATTTTTTGGGAGAATCCTAATTAAATCCTGCCAAAATATCAAATTTTTAATTCAAGCCGACATATTTAATAAATCCTAATTAGGTCAAAAGGTCTGATTACAGATTTCTAGATATTGTTAAAAGTATAATAAGAGGTGAAGCGAAGCGAGAGAAAATAAACAAAATAGATAAATTATGTAGGTTTCAAAGAGATGAGGCATGATATTATTATCTTAGTATATTTTTATGTTTTATTACTTAAATTAGAAGGTTTTAAATAGTATGCTTATATTTTGTCGAACTTATGTTTTCACTTTTTTGTGGACATTATTTTTATTTTGGAAAAATCATAGATAACTCTTCTGAATGAATAACTCCTTAAACAACTTTATAATGAATCACCTTAGTAATAAAAAATTTTAATAATTAAACACTATTACAAATAAGGTCATTTTCGACTATTTTGAAAAACAAAAGAATATGAGCCTTTAAACTCATGTGTTAAAAGGAAACAGACAAGTATAGGAGTCTATACTCGTCTGTTCATCATAACATACTAGTATGGGAGCCCATACTCGTTTGTTACAACATAACAGACCAGTATGAGGGGTCCATACTTGTCTTTATGATTAATAGACGAGTATATGAACTCCCTATACTCATTTGTTTTCTTAAAAACATATGAAAAGCATCTTTTTTTTAATTCTAATTTCGTCTTTGCCATGCACAGATTTGAACATACTCTAGAAATATGCCTTCTCCTTTCTTCTTCTTTGTTCTTCTTTCTTTTTCATGTGTGGTGAGCTCTTTCTTTCTCTTCTTTAGATTTCTACTTCTCCTTATCAGTGTTGGTGCTAACAACTAAGTTTGTCTTCTCCCTCCCTAATCAGTAGCTCACCGTCTTCTTCTTCTTCTTCTCTCTCTCTCTCTTCCCCATTCTTTTTCTCCCTCTCTTCCCCATTCTTCATCCATGTCATCTCATGACTAGGAGCAATGTTTTCTTCGACCTTAAGTTCACTCACAACACAAGGTAAGTGACATGGGTGTGTGTCTTTTATATTATGTGAGTTTTTGGATGTTAAACGGAATTAATGTAATTGTTTGTAGGTATGTATGTTTTCTATTTAAATTGATTGTTGGTAAGAATTGCACTCGGGAATTATTCAACATTGATTGGGTAACATTTTGATAATTAAAATGTTTGCTAAACTTGTTTAAATCTGAATGCACACAAGGTGTTTGTGAAAATGTCTAAGAGAGCAATTTGACTAGATGTAATAGTTAATTAAGTATTTTCAATGTTTAATCTTTACATTGAATTTTAGAAAGCTTTAGATGCTATTTAAACAAATATATGTATATAACTTTATTTTTATTACATTGTAGGTAGATAGTGTTGGGAAAAGTGTGCTTCAAATTATATTGGAAATTTGAGTTGAATATTGCAATCATCCTAATTAATATTACAAGTAAGCTTGAAGTTAATTTTTTGTTTGGATGCTTAGTTCATTTTGCTTAACTAAGTTAGGATGTCATTAGATTTTTTGGTTTTAAAACTTTCTTCTGTCATATGACTAACTTATTGTGTTTAGTTGTTTTTGCTTAACTAAATTCTTTGACCCTTAAAATTATGGATTGATTGGATTCTATTTATATGAAAAACATGTAATTTGGTTGTACTAAATTGCTGTTATTATTTGCTATAATCTATTTTAGTTCTGCTGTATGTATGCTTTTATAATCGCAAGTTAAATTAAAACTAGCAATATGAAAATTTTTACCTTTTTAAAAAAAAATACATATTCGTTTGTTCTGGCGAGAACAGATGAATATGCATGCCTATATTCATTTGTTTCATAACAGGCAAATATATGAATGCCAATATTTATTTATTTTAAAATAGACGAATATATAATTATTATCTACATCTCTCCCAAAACAGGAGAAAAAAGACCTTCAGAACATATGAAAATAACATATTTTGTAGTAGTGGACATGTCTTTTAATTAGGAATTTAAAAAATTCTTTTCTTTTTACCTTATAAATGGGATCAGAATGAAATAGATGATTTTGTTAGATTTAAGGTTTTGATAATGACAACGTAACCAGTTAAGTTTCTCTGCATTACTGTTAAGATTTGATAACCTGCTGCATATTTGTTTTTATTAATAACCTTAGGGATAAATGCATTTATCGATAACTTATTAGATAAATAGCCAAACTTCTTCAGATAATACTAATGTTAAGCAATTATCGATCACTTGATCGATAGACAAGGCTTACAATAAGCCATCAGGTAAAACAATAAGTTTCTCTCTATGTTGTTAAGTATTTATTGATAACCTTAGGGATAAATGAGGTTATCGATCATGTTTCAGATAATTGGTAAGTTTCATTCAAACCATATCCTGTTTAGAACATTTTATGAGCTATCAATCACCTTATCAATGCTCATACTTATCAATAACTTGTTCCAAAACTAAGAAAGTATGCATCACTAAACTTCTTTTAATATTCAATAAGTTATTCGATTAAGTTTTACTCTGTTTCTCTAAACCTTCAAGTTTTATTTAGACATTTATTGATAATTACAATTATCGATTATTTAATCGACAAATGCACTTATCGATCACATTATCAATTAAAGTCACGTTTTCCTAGCTTACTCTGACCAAGTGTTTCAGATGACTTTTCAGATAACCTTTTCGATCAAGTCACTTATTGATAACGATAAAACTACTTAAAATAGTTTTCTATAGTTACTTCAATTATCAATAAGCTTTTGGATAAAGTGAATTATTGATAACTTGTTCTAAAAAGCTTAGTTACGTTGCTCTAAAATATTCTTCACTCTATCTTTCAAAAAATATAATATTATTCTATCTTTAAGCTTTTCTCAACCTTCATTGATTATCTTATATGTTTTATAAAAAGGCAAGATGGCTCTTGATTCAAGAAAACAAAATCTTTCACTTAGCTTTTGAAGAATCATCATGATAAATCACTTTGGTCAACTTTTACTCTTTATTGATAATCTGTTCCATAATATCATTAATCTATAATGACTTCGATAAATGAGTTTGACTATCAAGTTCTCTCACTTCTAATTAATTGATAACTTTATCGATTAAACTACTTATTGATGAGATCTTTGATAAATTTGATTCTTTGATTCTCTGATCTTTGATTTATGATTTTCACTTCTTGTATTAAATCCAAGGATCATCATTTCTTTTGTTGATTCATATTCTCTTATGAAGAAAGCTTATTTTTCTACCGAGACATTTCTACAGGTTATGAGACTCAAGGTATGTTTGGATTGGCGTTGGGCAAAACTGACTTCTAGTCCAACTGACTTTTCTAACTAAAGTTAGAGTAAAAGTTAGTTATGGTATGTTTGGATAGGTGCTTTTAAAAAGTCAGTTGAAAAAGTTAAAAGTTGTTTGGATGAATATAAAAGTTAGTTCAGTTGTAAAATGACTGAAAAGGGCATATACTATATTGAATAGTAGTGTTTGATATTTTTAATATGATAATTGTTAAAAAAAATATCTAAAATTATTATGATAAAATAAAAATAATTTATTTGTGAGATTATAAAATAAAAATATATGTTACCAAGAAAAATTTAAAAACACATTATAGATAATTAATTAAATATATATAATGGACAAACATGAACATAAATTAAAATTCATTTCGTCTCTAATTAGAGTAAATAAAATTACATAAGTAATTAGATCGTACTTAATATACAAACATGAACATAAATCAAATGAAAATTCATTTGGTCTCTAATTAAAGTAAATAAAATGACATAACTAATTAGATCGTAAGCTTTGCACAATTTGGTCTCTAATTGAGTCACGGATACGATTTATTTGTGCAGTAGATGTTAAACTTGATGAGGATGCCTCACCAGCTGGATGATTATTGTCTTCATCTATTATACTTCCATGCTCAGCTTGTATAAAGCGATCATCAGTTGGAGAATTTTGCCTGATAAAATTATGGATAGCCATTATTGCACAAACTATGCGAACTTGTGCTTGAAACTTGAATTTGGGCATGTCTCTTCAGATTGCAAACCTATTCTTCCAAACTCCAAAAGTTCTTTCAATAGTGCATCTCAAACTTGAATGATAATAATTGAAGGCCTTATTCTCATTTCTAAATCTTGGCTAATGGTTAAAGTCTGGCAGGTGATAGCGCTCACGTTTGTACAGGCCAAGGTATCCCACTTGTGATGAATAGCCAGCATCAACCAAATAAAATTTGCCTAGAAAATCATCAACCAAATAATGCAATTGAAGCTTAATTTTAAAATAATTGATTTGAAATTTATAGAAATATACCTTCAGGTGGATGAGGAAAATTCATGGATGGAGTTAAAATAGCAGATTGAAAGACACGAGCATCATGTGCACTACCTTCCCAGCCTGCAACACGAACGTGAAGCACATATCCCAATCACATACGGCCATGACATTTTGACTTGGAAATCCCTTCCTCCTAATATATTTGTCTTGCCTAGCTTGACTAACTTGACATTTTATATGGGTGCCATCAATTGCGCCGATTGCATCCTTAAAAAATGGAAAGTATCGTGGATCATTTGCTATTTTTGGGTGGCAATAGGAGAATGCAGGATCAATAGGCCTGATATTTTCTCGAGATAAATTGAGACAAGCATCCAACACTCTATGAAAATGCCGACTGACAGTTTCTCCTGAACACTGAAACCTTTCTTGAATCATCCTATTACACTGACCATGCGCAATTGTATTCAAGAACATGGCAACAGATTCATGGACACCTATGTACTTAGAATTTTGCAACCCATGTTCAACCAATTTAGAACATAACCGATGGAATATCTCTGTTTCCATTCAAAACATTTCCTTAGACTGTCCTTCATGCCCATCCAAAAGTTCTTGAACCCATAAATAACCTGTTTGTTCGCTAGTTCTACATGGCTGTTTGCATAGAAAAGGTGTCACATATTGACCTATTAACCCACTTAATTGTGATAATTGTGTTGTGTGTTCATGTAAGGCGGGAAGTAATTAAGACCGTTCGTCATCCCAACCCGTGCCCCAACCATCCGTTGAATCAGACACGGATTATGTTACCTGTGAGTAGTTAAATACTAAATGTGAGTACTATTTTCACAAAAAAAGAAGAGAAAAGATAAGTGATAAATAGCCATTAAATTGTAACATAATAATTATACATAGTCATGAAACACAACATTAAACGTAGTCATGAAACACACAACATTAAACAAAGTCATGAAACACACATAATCATTAAACACATTGTCATGACACACAATAACCAAATATATTAAGATAGATAAACAGAAATCATAATAAGTCACTAGGCACAACTCAAGGATTCTTGGGTGTAGCATATGGCAGTGGGTTTGCAGCATTGTGCTTCAACCAAGCTACTAATACCTCCCGATTTTCTCTCAAACCAGCATATATGCCCCTGAATGTCTTGTTTGCCAGCAGATTACAATAGATGACACATAGATGAGTGTCACTGACAATTTCAGGCATACTCAGTAGATCAGTGGTAAGCTCAGTAGTGTTATCACTGTTGGAGATTTTGTTTATTGCCTCTGCTGTACTAATTGAAGCCTTCTCAATCGAACTCACTGAATCTTCTATTCGTCTTGTCGCCGGCATTTTTTGCTTCTTGTACTTGTCCAACCCTTCACCTCTCTTCCTCTTCCCTTGACTCCCTAAAGCACTAGGTATAGTAGGTGTAGTGTTCGATGTGTTTGCAGTTAAATTGATGCCATCCAAATAGTCCAAAACTCCTGCACGACGTCCAGTGTCGTCTTCACTATCCCCTGGACCTTCTTGCCTATCCCCTGAACCTTCTTGCCAATCCATTGTTGGTTGGTAGTCATTTGGCTGATCACCCCTCTGTGGCTCAGGCCCGATCTAAGATGGTGCCCACATATCATCTCCTGATGCCATAGTGTCCTTGAATATAGTTTCCAATTTAGTGTGAAACCTTAACCCATGGTGCCTAAACTTTTCATATGCTGGATTTTCCTGCAAAGTTAAAAGTAAACCAAAGTTAAATATATTCTAAAAGTATAATCTTGCTTCTAAATTAACACAAGCTAGTTCATACTTGTAATTTCCTCTCCCACTACTCATCAGATGCCACCACTATGTTCCTTTCAGGGTCCTACCCTATACCGGTCTCCTTAGCAATTAGTTTATCAAATGTCTTCCACTCTTTTCTCAAGTTATCTAACCTATTTTTTAGCTACTTTCTTTCATATCCTCTCCTTGTCTTTTCATTGAAAGTTTTGTGAATGTTATCCCAACCTTGTTTTGTAAATGAAGATCCTTGACACAGTTTGCTATAAATCTGGTCAACACATATTTCGAGAAAAAGACCTGTGGTGCTCACGTCCCAATGTGCTTTGCCTTTATCGTTACTCATAGTTCTTGTTGAAATTACATATATATCGAACCCACAATTAGTCAAGAATCGAACAGTATAATCAAGCAGTATAAACCCACAATATATGTAAATCAATTTATCACCAAAAGTGCCTTAATTCAAGCAAACTTGGGGTATGCTAACCTTAATACTAGAATTTTTAGCTTAAACAAGACCATAACAAATTCAACTCAACATGGGCGATGAATTGAAACGGAATAAATGTCACTAAAAATTGGCAGAGCTCTAAATTTATGTTTGGATCAAAATTTCAAACCCAATGCTCAATATAGCCGAAAAAACCATAAAAAAATTAAAATTGCTCATGACTGAGTACAGATAACAGAAAACACAGAATCACAAAACACAATAGATTTGCCAAACTTTCAATATAATCAAGCAGTATAATCAATCGTGTGAATGATTTCTTTTTCCAATATTCAGATTGTTCATACATGCTAAATATATCCACATATCCAAATATAAGCGTGTGAATCAAAAGCTTCAACCAAGCTGGATACATCCACATATCCTAGCTAAATATATCTACATATCCTTGATTACCATCTCTGTATTCCCCCCCAAAGTTCAGAACATCGCACACTCATTTTAATTCCTTCACTTTCTTCCCTAATTATTGTTTGAGAATTCTCAGATGCAATCGAGAGGAGAAGCAGTAGATCGAAATGAGTTCCAGATATATCAATGAGTGAAAGCAAGTATCTGAATTGCACGTAAAGATTAGAGATCAGAAATGGAGAAGTCATGCACTGTACTGGTTCACTTCGACAAGGGCACACCAGTACTTGCCAAACCATCATATGCTTCGGTCAAAATAGAACGTCCGCAGGAGAAGGAAAAAAACACAGAAGATGATTCTTTGCACACACAACAGCAGCTACAACCAGAGGAGAAAGGAAAAAAAAAACCCCACCTCCTTTAGCCATGGTCAGCACCGAGAAGGAGAACAGAGGATCTGAAGTCGAATAAGGAAAAGAAAAGAAAGGCAACCACGGTACCTTGAGTGGCGGAGGAAGATAGCCGTGATTCTTTGCACACACGTGCCGGTGATGGTAAGGAAGATGACACATATCTGTCACGACAGTGATAGAGGGAGAAAAGCCGCCAAGATCCACGGATGGAGATGCCGAAGAGAGCGACAGACGGAGATACAGGCAACAATGATGGATAGAGACACACGAGAGAGTGCCAAGAGTGACGGATAGAAGGCCAAATGCAGAGCAAGAGAAGCCTCCCTGTTGCTCGGTCGAGTGTTCTGAGGCTTCGGGGTTGGGTGAAAATGATAGGTGAGAGAAATAATACCCATTAATGTTCATTTAACGGTAAATTGCATTTTGAAACGGTGGAAAAGCTAGAGCAAGGAGCATCCGAAAATAAGCAACTTTTGCTTATAAGTCAATTCCAAAAGCAACACATCCAAACAATCATTTTTACTCAAATAAGCCAACAACCTCAGTTACACCCTTTCCCAAGTGCTTTTAGCTTTTGTAATGACAATCCAAACATAGCCTCAATGTTTATAATATAGACTCAAGCTACCAATGTTAGAAGTACATTTATTACAAACAACCATTGCAACTGTCAAGATATGCAAACAATATCTCAACAGTTACAAGCTCTTGTGTCTAATGGAAAGATGGAAGTCTCTAACTATAACAACTGCCAAGAGCATTGAATGAAGCAGTGAATGAGCTAAGCTACCAACTGTCAAATTAATTTTCCTCATTCAATTCTCTGTTTTTCAATTCTAAGCTTTAGTGCTTATCTTATATACTCTTAAGAGAGAGTCTTTAATCTTTTTACTCAATTCAACGAGTGACTAAAGAGTCTAGGACTTTTGAGGGGATTGTAATCTTGCAAGAAGTAAGGGAGCTCGATTACTGTACTGTGGCACCAAGAGTATAACCTAACCCATCACTCCGACCTCACCAACCATACTTTAATCATATATCTCCACCGTATACATACCACCAAAAACCACCTCCTTTTCGATATGAATACTACCACCAACCCTCATCCCAATCCAAGTATCATTCTCTTTCCTAATCTCATGAACATCAATTCAATGAACCTGACCCATTTCTTACTATTCCTAAGAAGGATCAGATACGATTTTTAAAAGAAGCTTATGACCGCTTAAATTCATACTATCATGGATTACTTGAAGAAGCACGGATATCTGGAATTTCAAAGGAATCAAAGGAAGAGTTAGGAGAATGTAAGAGTGCATTGGAGAAGATCTTGAGTGATATAGCTCAAATTGAATGCGAGACTGGGAAGGATGAACCAAAGTGCCCAAATTTACTCATACAAGAAGCTGACATGAAGCAAGAGCATCTATAAACTCATAAGGACTTGTGCCCTACATCAGGTAATATTGATCCTCTTCTCAAGGAGATTGATCCTTATACTATAACTACTATTCCTGTTGAAGCTATTGATGATATGAGTAATGATGAGGTGGATGAAGAAATTGTCTGTGAATCCCCTCATGTTTTTGAACATGCTAATACTCAACCTGTTGCTCTTAGTGGTAGTGATTTGGATGAAGATGTTGTTTTGTGTGATGATTTACATGCCAATCATGTTCCTCTTCACAGTGTTGGAAGCGCTGTTATTGATAAGTATGAGAATATTGAGATTGCTAAATCTTGTTTGAGTGCAATTATTGATGACAAATGTGAGAATGATCATTGCCTTGAGAACCAAATGCACGATAGTTCCTTTGAGTCAGTGGCGTTTAGTGTTGTTGAGAAAGACTCTGAAATTGTGAATGACAAAATTATGCATGTAGATGAGTCTTTTCAACAAGTTTTGTCTTGTGATTTGTCTCCTGATTTAGTTAGCTATGTCAATAGTAGTACTCTGCATGAATCTTCTTCTGCTTTCATGCTTTCACCTCCTACCTCTTATGAATGTGATAGTGATGTGCTATACTCTAGTAACTGTTAGTTGGATTCTTCAGTTTCCACGGCACATGAACCTAAGTGTTTTGAAACTTTAAATGATTGTTTGACTCCTACTGATGGGAGTATCATTGACTTTCTTGGATGCTGTAGCTACTTGAAGAGCCTATATCATAAAATGTCTTTACTTTATTTGAAATTTCTCGAAGTCTCTAGTGTTAGATTTGGTACTACTGCTGGCTTGTTTTCTGTGCAGGCACATAATTGGAAGGGATCTCCTCAACACCAAACTCCACCATATGCTCTTGGACCTCTTTCAATTGACCCTAAGCCACCACCAAGAAACTGCAATCATCAAGAGCAATCCTTTTTGCTAAATTTCATGTTTCTCATTATTGATGAGAATTTCTCTTTTAAGAGTCTAAGGCGCTTTAAGCACAAGGTTGTCTCTTTCCTCACTTATTTTCTCTTAACTTTGCATTGATTAACTGTGCTTAACTGAATTATTCGAGAGGATAAGTATGGGGGAGCTATTCTAGTATAAAAGTAACCTTGTTTTGGTTTACTCCCCTATTGATCCTCTTTTTCTCTTGTCATTACCTTACCCTTGGATTTTTCATTGAGGACAATGCAAAATTTAAGTGTGAGGGAGGGATTGTTGTCGAGTTGTTCAGCTGATTTTAAAACAAGAAACAAAAAAAAATTTGCCCTTGGATTTGCTCCCGTTTCCTAAGTATTGCTGCTATAATTGCTCTCTTCTCTGCCTTATTGGTTGATTTCTGAATTGCATCACATGATTTGAGAGTGATTCTTGCTTGAGAATTTTGCTGCTAGTTTCTATGTCCTCCTGTTTTCATTCGCCTTAGTGTTCTGCACTGCTGTATGGGCGAGTTGTTGTTTTCTCTATTGCTGAATTTTGACTTTTGTAATCCTTGGGCATCTCTTTTAAAATCCTTTTGCACAATGCTTGTGAATATTGCACGGCTAAGTTTGATTGCATTTGAATTGAGTGATTTCTGTTCTTAGTTGATTAGCATAGTAGAATGCCTTTAGTGCAGTGTTTATTAACCTTGTTTCATAGCTTGATCCTTAAGGAGGAAACATCTTGGAGAAAGCCTTGATTGAAGGATTGTTGAGCCATCTATTTTCTCATCTTGTGTGATTTTCATCTAGTTTTGGTTAACCTCTAGAACTTGTCTAGATTCTTTTTCAAAACTGCATTAATACCTAGGTTTGTGAAGATGATAGGGGCATTCATTTCTAAACCTTTACCCAAACACAAACCACTTCCTTTAACCTTTGTTCACCCCTTTGAGCCTTCACTTTCATTCCATTCATTTTTTTTAAGCAAGTGTTTTGCATGAGTTACATTTGGATTTTTTTTTAAAAAGTACATCATTAAAGTCTATATCTTTGCCTTTTTGGGTTTGGATGCCAAAAGAAAAAAAAAGAAAAAAGAAATAGAAATAGAAAAAGGCAAGAAAGAGAAGAAAATGTTTAGAAAAAGCCAAATAAAGAAAGTTATAAAAAAAAAAAGTTACAACAAAAGAATAAATTTGAAATAAGGCATTCAATGGTGGTTTGAAGAGCAAGGATTTTTGTCTCAAAAGGTTAAAATTTGCACATTGGTGTTGTTTCATGATTGTACTTTAGCTCACTTTGAGTTGATACTTTATTACTCATGCATTTCACTTGTTAATCCATTGCATTCATTTGGCCTTGTTTTTCGACATTACAACCCTTCAAGTCCCCTTGATCATGAACCTAAGGTATGCTAGTGGTGGAGATATTAGAATCTCTACAAGCTTATGGTAGGTGCTAATCTAGGTGGATTGAGTGAAATTTTTCCTGTTAGAGAGATGAGTGAAACACTTGTACCCTATGTGAGCTCTATTATGTTTCTCTCCCTTTATCATGCTATGTTTCAAGTATTAATTTCTTTGCACTGAAGTATTCTATGATTGTTGATTAATTAGGAATAAAGATTACTTGAGTTAATTGCACATTCATGCTTAGTTAATTTTATGGTTGCATGCATTGAGTCTCTCTATTGAATTCTTCTTTAATGAAGTTTTGCCCAGGAGTGCAAAAGGCTAAGTGTGGGGGAGTTGACAAACTCAATTATTTTTATATAGTTTGGTATCTTTTATATGAGTTTTGTCAGCTTAATTGGTCCCTTTTTGCCTTAATTGATTTAATTTATTTTATTTTGAATTATTATTTTATAGGGGCAAAATTGTCATATTTTGGTTTAATTGTGAGTAATTGTTTTTTGAGGACAATTAATGCTACATTATTTTTGAATTTTGTTTGCAGGTTTTTAGAAGATTTAAAAATTAAAATTAAAATTAAAAAAAATGAAAAAAAATAAAAGAAAAATAAATTAAAAAATAAAATATAATAAAAGGGGGAGCAAAACACAATGTTTTGCCCCCCAACCTAATATACTATAATCCATCATCTTCAATTGAGGGACTAGAGACACAGAGACGCAAGCGAGCTGTGGGCGGTGGAAAAAAGAAAAAAGAAACGGAGAGAGAGAGGTCCTTCCATCGGTCCAGTCCATCATCACCGGTGCCTTCACCTTCTTCTTCTCCTGGGTGCAGCAAAACCAGAGGGAGGTGGAGACCCACAAGCAGAAAGAAGGACCAGCGAGCTGACGGCACAAATAAGAAAAACAGAGATTCAGTGTTCTTGATGGCAAACCGAGGCTAGAGTCTATAATTCTCTAATTCAACAACAATGGCAGGAGCTCAGATCATCAAAAGGGAGTTTTAGTTGCTTTAATTTCTTACTCAATAATTGTTTAATAATTCCTAGGTCTTAGGATATTTTTTCTGATTGTTGGGATAATTGTATTGCTTAATCTGATTATATTTAGAGATTATTGTGACTGAATTATTGTTTAGCATTTGACATTGGGCTGTTTATAACTTTAATTTCAATTATAATGTTGTGGTTATGACATTTGTATTGATTTTGGAGTTAATATATTGTGATTTTCTAAGGTGGCTTAGAATTTTGGATCATATTGTCTTTTGCTAACTTTAATTCTGTTGTTTTGGATTTAAGAGTTCTAATTAAGTATTGGTTTTTAGCATCCTTAATCCCATTTTATTATTCTGGTTGCAGTTAGTAAGTTGGGATTTTAGGAAAATATTTGTGGCAATTCGAGGTGGCTCGGTTGTTGGATTAAAAGCTTAATTATAATTCTTAATTCATTGTTTTTAACTCCCACATCTTTTAGAATGATGATTGCCTGCGTTGTTGAATTGGAGGATTGATTATTATCATTGTTATTTGTGTGTTTCATTTTCATTTCTTTAATCTTCATTCATTTTAATCATTTTTATAAAAATAACCAAAAAAAAAGTATTTTAATTTCAATTTAATTCAAGGCATTTAGTTAGCAATTTTTCAAAAATCAAAAATTCTTTTTATAGTTTAGGTTACTTGCATTTATTTACTAGGATTTAATTTCGTTTTTGGCTCCTCAAAGTGAATGCGACCCGAATTGTGCACTATATTGCATTAATTCGGTTAATTTTTGGAGTAACCCCAAAGCGAAAAATTAAGGGCAAGTTAACTTCAGGCTGGTTCAAAAAGATGGCTCACAAATCAAATCACTATCTCAAACCAATTTGAAACTTTATCGGTTATTATTCAGTAGTAACATTCTATAATTTTTTTAAACCTCAAAAAATTCATTTCTCTTCATGATAATTCACCTTTTAATATGGAAATATGATCTAAAAATTTTCAGAATTTTTTTCCACTTCTAGGTATTAATTTTGAATTTTCTCTGATTAGACCTTTATCGGTAAATCTGAAAGAATATAAATTCCTTAAAATTAATTCCTAAACTTTCAAGGCCTAGAAACAATTTTATAAATTCAAATAAATATTTATATGAATTATACATCTTTCTCTCACATTTATTGAGGCTTCCAACTACTTAAAATAATTATTTTCCTTCAATTTCCCAATAATTTCTCGAAAAACCTTTATTTACGGGAACTTCCGTAATAATTTGTGTTCACCGAAATTTCAGGCCTCAACCAAGTTTCTAAAACTTTCAATTTATACTTTTCCTATTTTTTAGGAATTTTCTAGAATTTTTCTCAAATTTTCCTGTTTTGCCCTTCTTATACCGATGATTAACAACATACCAGTCCGGACCTTATCGGGATTTCACATCAAAAGTTGTTTTGTCTCCCTATCTAGTTCCTATATTGACCCTCATCCTAATTTTTAATCTCTTATAGCCAAGTAAAAATTTTTGGGATGTGAGAAAGAACCCATTGAATCTTGGGGTATAGTGAAAAACTCAGAGGTATTCTGAGAACTAGACGTAGGTCAAGTGGTTAAAATTGAGCCAATATAAATTCCTGCATATTCCTCTTCTATTCTTCTTTAGTGAAATCCTTCTAAACTTATTCCCTTTTTTTATTCATTTATTTATTTTTAAAAGTCAATTTTTTTCTTATCACCCAATTCACCTCTTCTTGAGTGAAACGGCCATTAGTGTATTTGTGCTTTAGGTGGTGCCATTCCTACTATAGGCTATAATGATTCAATGAAGACACATTCAAAACTTAACTAATGCTCTGCTTGGATTGAGTGAAAATGGGAGAGGAAGGAAAAGTGGAGTGGAAAATGGGAGAGGAATGAACTTTTCCCCTGCTTGGATAAGAAAGAAAATAGGAGAGGAAAGAAAAGTGGGGGGAAAAATGTGGTGGGCCCCATGCCCTATTTTCCTCTCAAAATTTCTCTCCACAAGTGGAGAGATTTTCACGGTTTCAGAACATTCCCCCACTGCCCTCTCCCGCCAAGCTTGCATCGGTCCTCATTCTTTCCCGCGCCGAACGCTCTCATCGTCGCTGGTCCAGTGGTCACAGTTCGTCCAAGCGGCTGCATCTTCTTCAGGTATCATCGTCATCTCCTCCATTTTATTTTTCTGGTCTTGTTCTCCTTGTCCTGCTGCTGAGCCCTAATCTCATACTCTCTTGATTTTTCTAATGAGTGGTAACTTGCTTATTTTTCATCTCTTTGCAACACTTCTCACGCACAAATCACAGCATTCATTTAAAACTCATTTGAGCTTTGATTCTGGCAAAAATGCGAATCTTCCTCTGTTTTTTTGTCCTCCTTTTGCGGCTTTCATAAGCATAGTTGAGCGACTTTCATAGATGCTTCACTGTTCAGGATAAACCAGAGATTAGTTTCTGCTCAGGATCGAAGGGCCAATTTATTGAGATGTTACTTTATATGGGTTAGAAATGGCTTTATCCATAGATTTCAACTCATCCCTCTATGACGATTCCGCTATTGTGAAACTCGACCTTGTCCTTTTCAAATCATACGCTGATGTCCATTTCATGACGGCTTCTTGCCGAGGCTTTGTGTTTCTTAAGCCTATAAATGAGCGCAAAGTTTTTCTCTTGAATCCCTCGACAAGGATCTGCAAACAAATTTCACTACCTACTTCAGAACGCAATACCAGAATAATGGCTTTTGTTATGATGAGTTGGCCGATAACTATGTAATAATGCTTTTGACGATCACATTATCCATTACTTTAGTTCTATGCTTCTGTGCCTCTCTGGGATACCAAGACAACAAGAGCAAAAAGGGGGGGGTGCGGGGTAATGGTGGGTCTCACGTATCAGTTGTGGCCCACAAATCCCTCTCTTTCTCTCTCCACCTGGATGGTCCAGGGCTGGATAGAATATTCTCCATGCCTCTAGTGCAACTTTGTCAAAGGAATGGAGGCTGGAGGAACATAAACCAGAACACTTGTATAAGAGGAAGTTTGGAAAACAACCAAGGGTAGAAGAAGGGGAATCCGCTCATCCCAGAGCCTATCCTGGAGCTCCAGAAAATGGGGAACAACTCTAGTGTGCAGCTAGCTACCAATCTTTTGAGTCTGAATCCTTGTAGAGGGGGTAGGACTACTTTTGGGGGAGTATAATGCGTGCAATGGGAGGGTAATGCCCTTAGGACTGATTTTGGGAATAGACTTGTGAGGAGAGACCTGGCCTCTCGAATGCCATGGGAGAGCCGCTGGGTTAAGCTGTGTTCATTGGATTTCCAGTGTTCTTTTGTTATTAGTTGCTGCTGTGATTTATTCTGTTATTAGAGGGAAATAGGGCTTTGGCTTGAATCAGGGAAGCTTATTGTATCTTTGATTCAATTCTGGAATATTAATATCAGAGCCTCAGGATTTTCCTCATTTATTGCTGTTCTGTTTCATTGTTGTTGGTTTGGTTTCTGGTTTAATGAGCATTTAAGCAGGGTCAAACAATTTATGTTTTCTTAGGAGACATTTAATCTTCCATTTTATAGTTTCTTCCTTTCTGCTTGGTAAAATTTGTTAATACTATATGAAAACGAGATATAAAGGATATCCTCCCGTGAATATTTTCTGATTTCTTATGGAGGAATGAATCCCCACGGACTTAAATTCCAAGGCTGCAGTATTTTCCATAAATTGAGCTTTTGAGCTGAAGTAGTCTTTGATATTGTGCTAAAGCCCCTTTAATCCTTGCCAATCCCTATTTCCTTGATTAAAATCCAGTTTTGATTCAACATTTGATGGCCTTCTGCTATATTTATTATTATTATTATTATAGTGAGAATTTTGATTGAATATAATTCCCTTTTTGGGGCTTATTGTGTTGACATACTAGAAAAGTTTATTGAATCATCATTGTTCCTCGATATAGCTACGAAATTGCACTGACAAGAAAACAAAACACATGCATGGTTGTCAAAACGTTGGTCACCATATGATGGGCATTATGCTAATAGTATATATTACTATGATTGCACTTGGTGGATTATGCTAATGGTATATATTACTATTATTCATTGCAACATATGTACGTGGTTGTGTGGTTTTGAATTGTTCTATAGATGAGCAACCATAATAAAGAAGGAATGATCAAGGATCTTGAGGAAGAAATGTTGGATTTTGAATCTGAAGTTAAAAGGTTCACAAATTTTGAAGTGGCAACTAAAGGTCCTGACTTCAAGTTCAATTTCAACTTCAACTACAACCACGTGCTACAAGATTGGGAATGGTGTAGGCGAATGTGTATTGTACAACTTGTTTGTTATATTGTACATACACTATACTTGTTGGAAGAGATATCAACACTAGTTGATAGGCCTATTAGTTATAGTAATGTTGAAAGAGAAAGCATGAGGAGAGCATTCATGAAACAATTAGAAGAACAGAAAAATGTCGTGATGTTATTCGCATGGGACCACAAGCATTTATGCAGTTATGTGCTAAACTTCGAAATACTGGTAGAGTTAAAGATTCTAAAAATGTTACTGTGGAGGAGCAGGTGGCAAAATTTCTTCACACATTAGCACACAATGTAAGAAGTAGAACGATGGCTTTTTATTTTAATCGGTCTAGAGAAACTATTAGTCGTCATTTTCATAATGTATTACAAGCTATTGTTTCTCTTGAGGCCGAATTTCTTGTGCAACCTTCTGGCTCAGAGGTTTCTCCAGAAATCCTTAATAATGAACGATTCTACCCATATTTTAAGGTATGTTTTTATATCTGTGGATACTTTTGTAATTACACAATATATATGTTATGTGTAACCAAAATTTGTAATAGGATTGCATTGGAGCAATAGATGGAACTCATGTTCGGGCAAAAGTACCTAAAAAAGAAGCTGCCCGTTTTCGAGGACGTAAAGATTATCCGACTCAAAATGTTTTTGCTGCATGTTCATTTGACATGAAATTCACATATGTGTTAGCTGGATGGGAAGGAACTGCCTCAGATTCAAGAATTCTTAAAAATGCTTTATCAAGAGAAGATAAAATTATAATTCCCCAAGGTTAGTATGAAACTATAAATAATTATTTCATTTTTTATGAATGTTTATTTGTGCTTATAGACTACTTTATATTGTTTAGGAAAATTTTATCTTGGGGATGCTGGCTTCCCACTCAAGCGTGGTGTTATAACACCTTACAGAGGAGTCCGTTATCACTTGAAGGAATATTCAACAAGAGCACCACAAAATGCAACAGAAATTTTCAACCATCGACATGCTTCCTTGCGAAATGTGATAGAAAGAACATTTGGTGTTTTGAAAAAAAGATTTCCCATAATGGCAGTGGCACAGAGCCACATTTTTCAATTGAGACAATGGTTGATATTGTGATAGCTTGTTGCATATTACACAATTTTTTAATGGGTGTGGACCCTGATGAGGCCCTAATATCAGAGGTTGATCGTGAACTGTCACGCAATCCCAATATGGATGATCAATTTGCAGCTAATCAAGAGGAGGACTATAGACAAGGATCAATTTTAAGAGATAACATAGCAGCTCATATGTGGCATGATTATTCAGCCCATATTTCACATTGATTATGATTTGAACTGTTTAATTAAGTTGTATGGTTGTGAAATTGTTATTGGTTTGTATTGTTTGAAAGTATTTGTTTTCTTGTATTAGTTTATATACTATTTCTAATTAAAAGTATGTGTTTCTTTGTATTGGTTTACATACTATTTTTAATTGAAAGTATATGTTTCTTGGTTTTAGTTTGCATACACTATTTATTTAAGTTGTATGGCTATAATTTTGTCAATAAATTTTTGTGTAGATTGAACAATGACACAAAAGAAGAAGGAATCAATGAAGGACAATTTGCGCTGGACTCCTGAGATGGACGAATGTTTTATTGATGCCTTGTTGGAAGAGACGATGAAAGGGAATCGTCCAGATGGAACATTTTCAACATATGCATATGATAATATGGTGCAAACTCTTACAAACAACTTTGGTACTCACATTACAAAGCAACATTTGAAAAATAGGAAGAAGACTTTATCGCAACGATTTGCAGAGCTTTATGACTTATTTCATGGATTGAGTGGGTTTTCATGGAGTCCTATCACAAAATTGTTTGAAGCTGATAATCAAGTTTGGCATGATTTGATTGAGGTGAGTAATTTGTAGAATTTTAAGACCATGTATGATAGGTTGATTTACATAGTTTATTTATGTTTGCAGAGAAAGCCAAATGCAAGAAAGTGGAAGAATGCACCTGTGCTACATTATGATAAGTTATATGAATTGTTCAGTGCGGACAGGGCAACAGGAAAATACTCCAAAAGTGGTAAGGAAAGGGTTGCACAATGGAACTCTAATGTTGGGGGAACTAATGTTGAAAGTGAATGTAATTTTCAATATGAGTCACCAAATTCACAAGCTAACTTAGATGATAGCCCATCAAATGGGACATCTGTGGGAACTGCATCAGTTAGGGGGCAAAAGCGTAAGGCTTCAATGATTGAATCCATTGAAGAAAGGTGTGAAAAAATGACTGCAGGAATAAAAGAATTGGTTGATGTCATGCGTGATGGCAATGTAGTTGCTGAGAGACAGGCTCAACTTGCAGAGAAGCAGGCTCAACTTGCTGAGAAGCATGCGCAAGTTGCTGAGTGGCAAGCTCAAATTGCTGAGAAACAAGCTCAAATTGCTGAAAAGGGTCTTTCAATACTTGAAAAGAGTAGGCCTCGTCATTATAGCGAGGGGGAAGTATGGACTGCAATTGAGGAAATTGGAATACCTGAAGAGCAGAAACTAGAATGTTACTTCTTCTTGTGTAATGAAGAAAGGCACAAGCTAAATTGTTTTGGAGTTCCACCTCATTTACGGTTGCAGACATTGCTCAGGTTGATGACTGATGCTAGGAATCATTGAAGAAAGCATGAATATGGTGTTTGACTTTTTTTGTTCATAGATCTTTTGTGATATGGTGACATGTTGGCCTCTTTTGTTTAGAAAATATATATCTTTTGTCATGATGTTTCTAATGTATAGTGACATATTGGCCATTTTTTGTTTAGGCAACATAGACCTTTTATCATGATGCTCATGATGTAAATGGCATGTCTACCTTTTTATTTATAATATTCCATGATCATGATGTAAGACATTTTATTCTATAAATATCAAGATTAATTTTAGTCATATTATTAGTGACATTTTTCATGATATCAATTTCTCATGTTATTATGATCTTTAATTTTATTTGATTTTTATTATTTTATTAAAATATTACATAATGTATAAGTTATTTGTTTCCTTTTATTTAAATTAAGTTCAAAAATTATTTCCTTTTTATTTTTACATAGAAAAATAATTTTTTTGGCTAAATTATTTAGTTTCCTTGCCAATTAATTATAATAAGGGCATTTTAGTCATTCTGATATTTATACATTTTCTTTCCTCCCTGTTTTCTCTCACTCATCCAAGCAGGAAGAGTGATAATATTTTCCTTTCAGTTTTCTCTTCTCTTCATTTTCTTTCCTCTCATTTCTTTCCTCCCAACTTTTCTTCTCATCCAAGCGGGGGGTAAGAACTTGTTTGGTTCAACCCTATTGCATACCTATAATGATTGCATTACTAAGATGAGGGTGTCTGGTTGCTCTTTAGTATGGTAATAGGTTTTACCATGATAATGATGATTACCAAAAACTTGGTAATCACCATTCATACCTCCCCCTCTATGAATGCTCATTACCACCCATTGCATGTTTAAAAAGTCCAATTTGCCCTTTAAGCTCATTTGTCTTTATTTCTATTAGTTCATTCCACCTATTACCCCATCGCCATGATTGCTACCACAACCACTGCTACTGGCACCACCATAACTACTGTCGCTATGACTACAACTGTTGTCGCAGCCGCTCCTGTAGTATTTACCACAATATCACCAGTGCCACCACAACCACCACCATCATCACCTTTCCTATTGTCACCACCACTTTGAACAACCACCACATTTGCCATTGTTGCTGTCACCTCCCCCCTGTTGCCACAGCCGCTACAACCATTGGCCCCTCCATTGCCCTAGCAACCACCACATTCACCGCTGTCATTACCACCACTACTATAACCATCACAACCACTACTACTATTGTGGCCACCCTCGTCGCTACTATCACTATCAGCCCTCCGGGAAATATAATGAATCCAGCAATGAATGATTTTTTTTTCTTCTTTTTTATATATTCAGGGGTATTATGGACTTTTCATTTTGATTAAATGTAAATTGTTTTTGGCTTAATCTTCTTAATGACATACCGAACATACGGATGGTAATAAATGTTGCATTACATCACATTGCATTACCGTCTCTGGGTATGTGGGAATAGAACCAAATAGGCCCTAAATTCTTATACTTAAGCTGTGAAATCATTTTTGGTAAAAAAAAAATGCTGTAAAATCATTATTTCTGTCGGAGGATCTCGTCTTACACCCTTTTGGTCTTTGCAAATTAAAATTAATACTATGATCCCTCCAATCCATAATATAAGGAACTAGTTGAATTTTTTCACAACCCAAAAAATGAAAAATGTTAAAAGAGATTAAATTTGTTTCAAATTGATACAAGTTGCCTATTTTATGATTCGAAAATTCTCTCTCCTCCTTATAACAAGAGTTAAAAATGAAAAATTACCATTAATTACCATATCAATTTCTTATATTTTGGACCAAAATTTTCTCTTAACCAACTTCTTATATCATGAACCAGATGGAATAACTCTTTGGACTACCAAGGGTCTTGCGTTTATCCGTAGCACAGAACCTAAATTAAAGTCATATACCGTGAGCTCAACCCTTCAAGGCTTCTAATACTCCTCTCGAAACAGTATGTTTTATAATTGGGAGAATTGCAATTAGATCCCAAAGAAGGGATTTAATTACCCTAAAGTTCCAATGACAAGTTAGCAGTAAAAATCAGTTGTCATTTCCTATATTGGAGCTTGTCATTACATGCTTTTCAGTTATCAACAGAGCTTAGTGTAATTAAATCCCTTTCTTGGGACTTAATTGCATTTCTCCCTTTATAATCTCCGGCAAATTCTACAGTTGCGGTTATTACCACCGTCTGCGCATTGGGCTTACGAGCTCATTCATTTCCACCTCTTTGCATATTGGCTATCTCCTTGATCATGGGTTTGTCCCACTCCATTGTTCGGCTCAACAGATAGTTCAACCAACAAATCCAATTAATAGACAGTTAAGGCTTGGTTAAGTAAATTGGTTTGTTAGATATACTCTTCCAGTTCTATTTTATACAGTTTAGAAGGCATAAAAAAAAAACAAACAAATATCATACAAAATGTGATGAGAACTAAGTGATCATTTATAATAGTCTGCACAACAGCAGTGGAGGCATATCTAAGGCAAATACCCAAGACTATGTGACAAACATCTCATTTTACTTTTCAAAAGTTAACTAAGCTAAATGTAGTAAAAATGAAGTCTAGCCTACATCATGTCTCAAGGGAGCCAAATGAATTATTTAAATTCCTGGCTACTCCAATGAGCCACAAACTATCAAGTTAACAGAAGTAAAGTGTCAAGAATTATGGTTGTAATTTCCTGGTTATTAAAACTAAGAATTAATTTTTGTGAATTTTAATTTTTAATGCAGAGAAATCGTGAGTTAAGGATGTTGAGCCCGAATCTTGGTCATCCAGTAAAAAAAAAAAAAAAAGAGAAGTCACCAACAAAATTTTAAAAGATTAATTTTGAAAACCTAAAAAATGTGGTCTACAAAAACTGGATAGGGTTCAAGAATTGATTGTGTGTGAGGAAGGTGTTAGGCACCTCAAACACCTGTTCAAGAGAACGGTTACCTTAAGTCAATTACTCAAAATTAATATGGCCTTTTTATTATATTTTAATTACCTAAAAAAACAAAAATAGAAACAAAGAAAGATTTTTTTATTTACAAAAAGGAAAGAATAAATTATTTATAAAGCTGGACTTAACCTAAGATAAAAACCTAGAGCCTACATATCTTTTAGAGGGATCAAAGCTCACGTAGTTTGGGGATAGAAATGCGTGTCACCTGGTTGGTATTTTTTAAAAAATATTTATTCAATTAAAAAAGATGTTTTTTATGGGTTGATATTTTTTTAATATATGAAAAAAAATTGTATTTTTATCTAGAAAATATTTTTTGAAAGAGATTTTGGATTACCCTCCCTGTGGAGATTCCATAACCTCATACAGGAGAATAATCGTTTGAGCATGCGAAGGTTCTAAAAACATCACACGGCTCTAAAAAATATTTTGAGATAACATATATATTTTTTAAAAGGGAATTTTTATTTTATTATTTATTTATAAACATGGGGCCAAAATTAGTTTCTTTCTTTTTATTTCAAAAAGTAAATTTGCACAACCACATTGGTATTCCTGTGGAGACTCCCATAGTCTCACATGGTTTACCAATGAATCTAGATATCTGCGGAGATTTTAAAAACCTTACGTGGTATAGATTTAAGAAATGGAAGTGTTTTCAAAAATAAAAAGAAAGAATACCCAAAATTAATTCAACATGAAACTCAAGTTAAAATAGGAATGAAAATTCATACTTAATGCTCCACTTATCAATTAGCTAAAAAAAGAATGAATTAAATAACAAGTCAATAATAAAAAACTATATACACATAATAGTAAAATGACATAGATAAAAATAAAATAAATAAAATAAAAAAATTAAAAAAAGTAGATATTAAAGTGAGTACATATGGGAGATAATAGATGAGGGCACATTTCGAACAAATCAAAGAGAAGGGAAGTAGTGAGAATTAACTAAAATCATGTTTAATTCAACCCTCAAACCGTCATTGTTCAAGCTCACAAATATGATAATAATCACAAGAGCATAGGCTTTCTTTGGATAGAAGAAAGAAGATGATGCACAATGGACTCTTCTCTAGTTAGGCTTCCTCTCTTTTTTCCCAACCCAACTCATCGTCATAAAATAAGATGATAGAAAAGCTATCCACCTTGCCTCCTTTTTCACTGAAAAATTATGAGCGTCCTCCTCCTCTAACCCCTATTCTCTTATTTATAGGCTCCACTTAGAATTTCTAATTTTCTCTAATTTTTGTTTTTTAATTTTCCTCAATTATGACTCATAATGTAATTTCCTATTTAAGCACCAAATCATCATTAAATTGTGATTTTTTATTTTAATTTTTTAAAATTTTCACAATTATAACCCTAAGATATTTCTAAATTGAGAAGTCAATCATCCTAAATAAGAAATTTTTACTTTTATTTTCTGATTTTTCTTATTTCTCTCTTTAATATGTCCATCTCACATTTTCTAAATTGGAGGTCAATTGGCTTTTAATTCGTATCTTTTATTTTATTGTTATTTATTGTACGAGGAATATTCTTATTTAATTTTTTTTTTGGATTTGCCTCATGGTGGATTTCTCAAACTTAGCTTCTAAGAAAGAATCAAGGAAGATATTAATCTTTTATTTTTTTTATTTGTCTTGTTTATATTTAATAATTTTTGTGTGACCCAGACCAAATTGAGTGTTCACAAAGGACAAGGAGGATGTTAAAAGAGAGGATTCAAACAATGTATCAGCCTATCAGGAGTGTTCCCGTGGAGATTTCTCTAGCCTCCAAGTCCATTGAAGATTGGAGTTCAAAGACTGGACTAAACAATTAAGCCAACAATTTGCTAGCTTACGCTACTAGAAAAAAGACTTTTAATGTTGCCAAATAACGGTAGTTAAGAGGGAAAATGCCATGAAAAAAAAGGCGGTGGTATTTTTGTAAATAAGTATTGTGATGGTTGATTTTTCACAGCAGTTATTAAGAAAACTGCCGTGAAAATTGTTTTTAACGGAGGTTATTTTAAAACTTTCCATAGTAGTTTT